AGCCCCAGTTCTCCCCCCCAGCATCCCCCGTTTCCCCCCAGCAGCCCCAGTTCCCCCTCCCCAGCAGCCCCAGTTCCCCTCCCCGCAGCAGCCCCGGTTCCCCCAGCATTCCCAGTTCCCCTGTTTCCCAGGGCAAGAAGAAGAAGCGGAAGCGGGAGAAGCTGCTGCAGCCGCAGGAGCCCGAGAGTGAGTGAGGGGGGAGGGGCAGCCCCAGAGGCCTGGCCCCAAAGTGGGGGGAGGAAACGGTTTGGGATTGGGATTTGAAGCATTTGGGGGTTGGGGGTTGCAGCATTTGGGAAATGGACTTCGCAGCATTTGGGATTTGGGGGTTGCAACATTTAAGATTTGCTCCATTTTGGAGTCAGGGTTTGCCCCTGTGGGATTTGGGGTTTTCTCCATTTGGAATTTGGGGTTTGCCCCATTTGGGATTTAGACTTTAGAGCATTTGGGATTTGGAGGATTTGTGATTTGGGGTTGGCACCATTAGGGATTTGGGGTTGGCAACATTTGGATTTGGGGTTGGCACTGGTTGGGATTTGGAGCTCTGCACTCTTTGGGATCTGGGATTGACACCATTTGGGATTTGGGGTTGGCACCATTAGGGATCTGGGCTCTGCCCCATTGGGGATTTGGGGTTGGCACTGTTAGGGATTTGGGGCTTTGGAGCATTTGGGATTTGCGCTTTGGAGGATTTGGGATTCAAGATTTGCTCCATTTGGGATTTGGGATGTAGACTTTGCAGCATTTGGGGTTTGCAGGATTCGGGGTTTGCAGCATCTGGGATTCAGGGCTTTGGAACATTTAGGATTTGGGGTTTGACTATTTGGGATTTGGAGCATTTGGGGTTGGCACGATTTGGATTTGGGGCTTGGAGGGTTCGGGATTTGAGGCTTGGAGGATCTGGGGTTTGGGGTTGGCTCCGTTGGGATCTGGGGTTGGCACCATTTGGGATTTGGGTTCGGCACCATTGGGGATTTTGGGTTGGCACGGTTGGGCTCTGCCCCGCTGGGGATTTGGGGTTGGCACATTTGGGCTCCAGAGTTGGCACCATTTGGGGTTGGCACCGTTGGGGTTGCGATGGTCGGGCTCCGGGGCTGGCACCCTTTGGGGCTGTGCCTGCTGTCACTCGGCGCTCAGAGCTGCTGTCCCTGCTGTCCCCCCAGATCCCCTCCCAGCCCGGAGCAAGAAGCCGAGCGTGGCGCCGCTGGTTCCGGCGGAGAAGCCGAGCGGCCCTGGCGGGCCCTCGGAGCAGGCGCAGCCGCTCTCCCTCACCACCCGCGCCCACCTGCCCACGCACCCCGCGCCCTTCCTGCCGGGAAAAGCCTCTTCCTCCTGCTCCTCCAGGCCCAGCCCCTTCTCGGGGCCCTCCGCGGCTCTCCTGGCCTCACCTCCAGCCCTGCTGGCCACCAGCCCGTCCCCGCAGGCCGCCCTGCAGACGCAGCCTCTTGCCCTGGTCACCAAACCTGCTGACTAAGGGGGCAAAAAATGTCAAAACCACCCCAAAACCCCTCGTCCTTCCTCCTCATCCTCCCTCCGTCCCCTCCCTGCCGGACGCTGCTGAAGCCACAGTGAGGTCCAACCACAGCCAAGCCCGTTATTGGTCAATATTTGACCTTTCTGGAACACTTTTTGGAAGCAGGCCCTGAAGAGGAGGGGGTGGCTGCCCCGGGGGACCCACAGACCCCTTTTGTTATAAAAAAAAAAGGCAAAAAAGGAAAAAAAAAAAGTATCAATCAAAAGTAACCCAAGGAGAAGAGGAACTCTGGGCAAGGGGAAGCTGCTGCCAGGTGACAGGGCACTGGCCAAGCACCCGGCCATGGCCACCCCGGGCACAGGCACCCGACGGCCCCGAGGCAAGAGCAGAAGTGGCTGCTGAGCTGGGCCACCAACCTCGGCCACCAACCTGGGCTAAAGCCCACGGTGCCCACAGCTCCTCCCAAGTCTTCCCGTCCATCCCGTGGCTGCCTTGGTGACTGGTGACCCCATCCCAGACCCTGCCCTGAGGTGTCCCCGAGGGTGCTGTGCCCAAGGTCCTGCTGGTGGGGCAGGGGTGGGGCTGGGCTGGGTTTGGCTGTTTCCCCCCATCCCTGTTATTTTTCACAAAAGTAAATAAAACCAGAGCTGCAACTCACTGCCTGAGTGTGGTCAGTGCAGGAAGCACCTGCTCCCTGCCCAGAGCCACCATCTCTTCCATCCCCACCATCTCCATCCCCACCATCTCCATCCCCACCATCTCCATCCCCACCTTCTCCATCCCCACCTTTCCCACCTCCGCCACCTCCCAAAATCGTTGCTCTGAGGACAACTGAGAGACTTGAGCAGCGAGAGGAGCCTGTACCAGCTTCTTGGTGGCCATCACTAAAACATCCAAGCACAAGAATGTGCCTAAGACAGACCTGAACTTGGTCGTTTCCATCTCCACGTACAAAATTATTTCAAAGTTGCTTTCAAAGGACAAATCTGCAAACACTGGGATGGGGTGCGAGTCGTGTGTCCCCCGCAAGAGCACCCAATTAAAGCTATGAAGCTTTAATTAGTGGCACCTGAGAGCGTGTCACTCAGTAACACACAATCCAGGACTGGAAGGATCAGGGCATTGCGGCTGTCACTTGAAAAGAGGCCAAAAAGTGATTCTTCAGCAAAGCTGTTCCAGGAACCTGGTTTCCCGGGAGGAACGTCCGGCTCGCACGCGGGAGCGGGTTGAGGACAAACAACTTCTTGACTTCGATTTCATGGGGGAATTAAAGGCATGAAGGGACCTGTCAGAAGAATGAAGGTCTGAACCCCAGCCAGACAGCTTCAAACAGATGTTGGGCTTCAGGAGGACAATATTCCTTTGTTTTACTCAGCATTTTCCCATGTGGAGAAGGAACATCTGTTCTGGCGCCTTTGCGGTGCTCCTTGACCAAGACCTAGAAGACAAGTAACTGGCCACCAAAGTCCTCCTGGTTTGCTGGAGAAGAGGGGAAGAGCAGTTAGGTGTTGCTCTGGTCTCAGATGAAGACTGTGAAGGTCTTGGAGTTGAACCAGGCTGATGGTGGGATTGTCTGTGATAAAAACGTGGTGTTCAGACTGGTCATCAGTGGAATCCTGGTTTCTTAACAGGGTTTGTGGTGTCCTCTGCAGTAAGAGGAGAGAATTCATCAAAACCTGGAATCACAGAATGGGTTGGGTTGGAAAGGACCTTAAAATCATCCAGTCCCACCCCTGCCTGGGCAGGGACACCTCCCACCAGCCCAGGCTGCTCCAAGCCCCATCCAACCTGCCCTTCAACACCCCCAGGGATGGGGCAGCCACAGCTTCCCTGGGCAACCTGGGCCAGGCTCTCACCACCCTCACAGCAAAGAATTTCCTCCTCATCTCCAATCTCAAACTCCCGCTTCCAGCTTAAAACCATCACCCCTCTTACCATACACCCTGGTAAAAACTCCCTCCCCAGCTCCCTGGAGGTCACAACTCCCGGGAAAGCCTGTCCTCGTGAGACCAGCCTAGTTCTTTCCCAGTGTGTTCTGGGAGCAGGGTCCCTTCTGTCACCTCCATCCTCTTGCTTAATTGCCACCACCTCCATCAACCACTTCCCCAAACCCCCCCTCCCTCCACAGCTCTGGCCATTCACTAATTGAAATGCCTAATGAGGTCCCAGGGGTCTCCTGCAGAGCTGGAGCTAATTAGGGGCTCTGGAGACAAAGTTTTTCTTCAAACTGATGCTTTTTTCCGTGAGGGGCCAGGGCTGAGGGGGTGGGGACACCAGATGTCCTGTTTCTCCACAGCAGGCTCCATGGACTTGGAGCTCCTGCCAGAGCAGCTGGTGCAGAGGCAGTGGCTACACTTAATACATTTTAATTAGGGTCATTAAATTCTGCTGCTTGCTAATTGTTTCTTCTTTCGATCCTTTCTCCTGACCCCACATCAGCCTTCTGGGGGGTGGGGAGAAAGGGGCAGGCTGGGCTGGGGGCCACAGCCACTTCCAACAAGGTAAGGACTTGGTCACCTCCATGCTCAGGTTGTCACCAGGCCTGGGGAGGTGGTGCTAAAACCCCCAGTTTGTGCTAAATTCAAGGCCAGGTTTGTCCAGATGGCTTGTTCATGGCTATTTTTGGAAGGAGTTGTCCCCAAAAAGTGACATCCATCAGGACTTCTGAGCAGAGCCAGCAGCAGTTGAGGAAACCAACCAAGCTGGAAGGTGAAGGAGCAGCCTGGGAGGCTCAAGAATTCCCTCCTCCTGCCCCTCGACATAAGCAGGATTCTGATGAGGCCCTGAAGCAACTTCCTCATTGTCCCTGGAGGTGACAGGTCAGGTGAGGTCACCACTCCCCTTTCTTGCCTTTTGGCCATGAGAAAGTGCTGAAGGAGAAGCAAGGCATGGCGTGCTGAGCTGGTGGGCACCTCCTCCTCCTCCTGGGGATTGGTGGGGCTGAGTCCTGTTGCCAGTTGCATTGTTGCCCATCCAGAAGAACTTGGCCTCTGTTCAGCTGCCCTGGACTTCCCAGGGGGGTGAGGGAAAAAGCCAAACAGGCCAGGCATGAGAAACAGCCTGACTTGTCTGCTTGAAGTCCCCACAAAAAGCTCCAGGCCAACTCTTCTTCTGTCTCCTTGGAAAGGCAGAGCTGAGCTGCTGGGATTCCTGGAATGTCTTGGATTGAATAGAGGAGGGGGGGATTAAAAAAAAAGAGGATGAAAAATCAACCACAGAATCAAAGAATCATGGAATGGTTTAGGTTGGAAAGACTTTAAAAGAATATCTAGATCCCCCCCCCTGCATGGGCAGGGACACCCACCAGCCCAGGCTGCCCCAAGCCCCATCCAACCTGCCCTTCAACACCCCCAGGGATGGGGCAGCCACAGCTTCCCTGGGCAACCTGGGCCAGGCTCTCACCACCCTCACACCAAAGAATTTCCTCCTCATCTCCACTCTCAATCTCCCCTCTCCCAGTTTCAATCCATCCCCCTTGTCCTCTCCCTCCCTGCCCTTGTCCCAAGCCCCTCCCCAGCTTTCCTGGAGCCCCTTCAGGCACTGCAAGGTGCTCTAAGGTCTCCCTGGAGCCCTCTCTTCTCCAGGCTGAACACCCCAACTTTCCATTCTTCCTCTGAGGCCGAGTCAGGATTAGTGCCCAAAGCCCCATCGCTGGGCAGGACTCCCCTGGTTTGCAGGTGGAATGAGGCAGTGATGTTGGATCTAGATAATCTTTAAAGTCCCTTCCAAGCCCAACCATTACATGATTCTATGTTTTATTTGTCTTGCAATGTTAAACTTGCTGGCTGGAGCAGAAATTCATGCACATGAGACTTGGCTGCGGGTGGCTCAGCACTTGGTGCCATGAGATGATGGGACACGGGTGGGCTGGAGCACCAGGGTAGTTATCCCAGGTGGAGAGGAAGGCAAATTCCTTGGTCTAAAAGGGAAGGAGATGCTGGGATGGACAGGTTGGGATTGTTACTAATAAGCCAAATGACAGACATTTAATTATGTAATTTGTGTGCTTGGAAAGCTCCTATCAAAGGTTGAGCTGGTATGGGAATGATGGGCAGGAGAAAGCTGGAGATCAAACTTGATGAGAAACGATGTAGCCACATGGCAACGTCCCTGAACAAAGTCACTGGGCAGCAGTGAGGAATACCAGGAAGCCCTAGGAAGAACGTCTGGAGCTTTCACCAGGATCCCCCAAAAGCCCCAGCTCAGCAGAAGGAATGCGGAAGGCTCTGAAACCATCCTGGACAGCAGGTGGGGACAACTTTTGGACACAGCAGGTGACATATGGCTGGAGGACAACCACAGAGGACATCGGTGACAGTTCAAGGACACCCAGAGCCTCAGACACCCTGACTTGCTGTGGTAGGGTAGCAGTTCATGGACCTGAGGAGCTCAGCTACAGCCTCCAGGACCCTGCAGCTGCCCTGACCCTGGCAGAAGGATCATAGATGGACTTGAGTATCTTCCTGTATTTTCATCTTATCTGTATCATGTACATGTTGGTTTATACTCCAGACAGCGTAGAGCAGGGGGTGAAGATGGGTAGGATGATCAGATGAAATCCTAGTGTCTGTTCTGCGGACCAAGCTGGAGCTCATCCCCAGTTTTGGGCAGTATCCTTCAAGGTGTGGAGTGGCTACAAGAAAGCTCAGAAGAGAGCAAGAACACAACCTACAGGAAAAGATGGACATTTGGTCCCTAGGAGGGAGACACAATCATCTTCATCTTCATCACAGCTATCTCCAGAGGAAAGGAGTAGATGGTCCACAAAGAGCCACGAGTGGCTGGAGGGAAGAGCTGTAGCTGATCAGGACATGTCCAGCCTGGCCAAACAGAAACCCAAGAGGTTATCAGAGCTGTTGGAGCCACCACACGCCCTCACCACGGCTGCTGGCTCAGCAGCACCTTCAGGATGCACTTCTGACCCAAAAGAAGGGGAACTAGCCCCAGTTTCGAGCTGCTGACCCAACCCCCCCAGCCTG